TAAGAGCGGCCTGTAGCCATGACTAATGAACAGAGAAAATGTTATTTAATGCCAGGAATGTCTGCATTGTTTATTCTGGACCCTATTTTGAAATTGGCATCTGTTGAAATTTGTGTGAAATCGGCCAAATTGCCAATTTCTGACCACTTTATTGGGTAGTTGAAATAAATGAATGGGCGGCTTCTTGTACTCAATTGACAGACTAGAAGTAAATAAGTTTATTCAGGTATACACACAATACAGTTACATAGATTTTCATACATAGCAGTGTATGTATAGAGAACCTAGGATAACCCAAGAAAGTCAGACGAAGTGATTTATTTCCAGTACCTGGCTTGGGCTTGCCATATATGATTTTTGGTAATTTTTTTTTTTCTCGGTTGTTTGTTGGGCTATCTCATTGAAACTTGGGCAGTGTATGATGGAAAGATTCTTCTTAACGTACAACAAAAATAAAAAAGACGGACGACAAATAAGGGAGTTCACTTCTCAGCCATTAGCTGCTTCTTTGCAGTATACAGTGGACCCCCGCATAACGATTACCTCCGAATGCGACCAATTATGTAAGTGTATTTATGTAAGTGCGTTTGTACGTGTATGTTTGGGGGTCTGAAATGGACTTCACAATATTCCTTATGGGAATAAATTCGGTCAGTACTGGCACCTGAACATACTTATGGAGTGAAAAAATATCGTTAACCGGGGGTCCACTGTATTTTCGTATGGTTTTTATGGTTGTATTCTTGTTTTTTTGGATTCATTTGATAGAATGGAAGATATATTACAGAAATAGACATGATTTTAATTGCTTTCATAACGAAAAGTACCTTGAAATTGAGCTCAAAGTAGCGGAAATGTTCAATTTTTGCCAATGTTCAATGAACTTTGTGTAAGTCAAGTTGGTTAATTTTATTAAGTGTATTCTAACCTAACCACCCTGTAAACCGGCAAACTCTGTAATCTGGCACACTACAGGTCCCAATGATGCCGGATTTGTGATGGAGGACCTGTACAATCGTATACAAGTAAAAATACACTTAACTGATGGTGCTACTTGCCTTTTGTCTCAGCAAACATGGTTATCTGGGGCAGCAGGTGGCTGCTTCCTCAGCCAGCTTCTTAATTCCTACATTGTCTGTGGCATGTCAAGCCAAATGTGAAGTATCAGAATTCTTTTATTAATACATTGGCCCTGTGTATCTGAGGTAGAATGACCCAAAAAAGGAAACATGTTCAACATGATTCATTAAGTAGCTGTCTTGCCAGAAGTGTGCAGACATCACAAGTCAAATGGCCCTCCTTTAGAGTGCAAAGACTGTACTTTCCACATCCAGGACTCAATCATGGCTAACTGGTTTCCTTGAATCCCTTCACATATATTAATAACCTTTTTCACACTCCAGCAGCACATCAATCTATAAAAAATAATACTCTCCATTCACTCCAGTCTAGCATTCTCACATAAGCCTGCTAGATGGTCACACCTCCAGCCCTCAAAACCCCCTTTACCTCCTCCCTCCAGTCCTTCTTTGGAAGACCCTTACCTGTCCTTCCTTCCACCTCTGATCTGTACACCCTTCTGGTCATCTGAATTCCTTCACTCCAAATGAACATATCATTTTCAGGGTATTAAAATGAACACTCTGATTTTCCATGTAATTAGATTCTAAAGTTTTGGTGTTTGACTGTATTGCATTTTATCTAAAAAAGTTGCACTATGGAAAGAGCTTAGTGCCTTTGAAGTACACTGACTGTATGCTGCTGTTAGTAAGAAGTACATTACTTAGTTTTAATAAACTAGTCTTTTTTTTTCTTTCAACACACCGGCCGTATCCCACCGAGGCGGGGTGGCCCAAAAGGAAAAACGAAAGTTTCTCCTTTTACATTTAGTAACATATACAGGAGAAGGGGTTACTAGCCCCTTGCCCCTGGCATTTTAGTTGCCTCTTACAACACGCATGGCTTATGGAAGAAGAATTCTGTTCCACTTCTCCATGGAGATAAGAGGAAATAAACAAGAACAAGAACTAGAAAGAAAACAGCAGAAAAACCAGAGGGGTGTGTATATATATGCTTGTACAAAAGGATAAATAAATATACAAGGTATGATGTAGCATGTAATGAAAGTAGTTTGTTAGATTATGTATTGGGGGATAAAAGGTTGATGGGTAGGGTCCAGGATGTACATGTTTATAGAGGGGCAACTGATATATCGGATCATTATTTAGTTGTAGCTACAGTTAGAGTAAGAGGTAGATGGGAAAAGAGGAAGGTGGCAACAACAAGTAAGAGGGAGGTGAAAGTGTATAAACTAAGGGAGGAGAAAGTTTGGGTGAGATATAAATGACTATTGGCAGAAAGGTGGGCTAGTGCAAAGATGAGTAGTGGGGGGGTTGAAGAGGGTTGGAATAGTTTTAAAAATGCAGTATTAGAATGTGGGGCAGAAGTTTGTGGTTATAGGAGGGTGGGGGCAGGAGGAAAGAGGAGTGATTGGTGGAATGATGAAGTAAAGGGTGTGATAAGAGAAAAAGTTTGCTTATGAGAGGTTTTTACAAAGCAGAAGTGTTACAAGAAGAGCAGAGTATATGGAGAGTAAAAGAAAGGTGAAGAGAGTGGTGAGAGAGTGCAAAAGGAGAGCAGATGATAGAGTGGGAGAGGCACTGTCAAGAAATTTTAATGAAAATAAGAAAAAATTTTGGAGTGAGTTAAATAAGTTAAGAAAGCCTAGGGAAAGTATGGATTTGTCAGTTAAAAACAGAGTAGGGGAATTAGTAGATGGGGAGAGGGAGGTATTAGGTAGATGGCGAGAATATTTTGAGGAACTTTTAAATGTTGAGGAAGAAAGGGAGGCGGTAATTTCATGCACTGATCAGGGAGGTACACCATCTTTTAGGAGTGAAGAAGAGCAGAATGCAAGTGTGGGAGAGGTACGTGAGGCATTATGTAGAAGGAAAGGGGGTAAAGCAGCTGGAACTGATGGGATCATGACAGAAATGTTAAAAGCAGGGGGGATATAGTGTTGGAGTGGTTGGTACTTTTGTTTAAATGTATGAAAGAGGGAAAGGTACCTAGGGATTGGCAGAGAGCATGTATAGTCCCTTTATATAAAGGGAAAGGGGACAAAAGAGATTGTAAAAATTATAGAGGAATAAGTTTACTGAATATACCAGGAAAAGTGTACGGTAGGGTTATAATTGAAAGAATTAGAGGTAAGACAGAATGTAGGATTGTGGATGAGCAAGTAGGTTTCAGAGTGGGTAGGGGATGTGTAGATCAAGTGTTTACATTGAAGCATATATGTGAACGGTATTTAGATAAAGGTAGGGAAGTTTTTATTGCATTTATGGGTTTAGAAAAGGCATATGAAATGTGGATAGAGGAGCAATGTGGCAGATGTTGCAAGTATATGGAATAGGTGGTAAGTTACTAAATGCTGTAAAGAGCTTTTATGAGGATAGTGAGGCTCAGGTTAGGGTGTGTAGAAGAGAAGGAGAATACTTCCTGGTAAAAGTAGGTCTTAGACAGGGATGTGTAATGTCACCATGGTTGTTTAATATATTTATAGATGGGGTTGTAAAAGAAGTAAATGCTAGGGTGTTCGGGAGAGGGGTGGGATTAAATTATGGGGAATCAAATTCAAAATGGGAATTGACACAGTTACTTTTTGCTGATGATACTGTGCTTATGGGAGATTCTAAAGAAAAATTGCAAAGGTTAGTGGATGAGTTTGAGAATGTGTGTAAAGGTAGAAGTTGAAAGTGAACATAGAAAAGAGTAAGGTGATGAGGGTATCAAATGATTTAGATAAAGAAAAATTGGATATCAAATTGGGGAGGAGTAGTATGGAAGAAGTGAATGTTTTCAGATACTTGGGAGTTGACGTGTCGGCGGATGGCTTTATGAAGGATAAGGTTAATCATAGAATTGATGAGGGAAAAAAGGTGAGTGGTGCATTGAGGTATATGTGGAGTCAAAAAACGTTATCTATGGAGGCAAAGAAGGGAATGTATGAAAGTATAGTTGTACCAACACACTTATATGGGTGTGAAGCTTGGGTGGTAAATGCAGCAGCGAGGAGACGGTTGGAGGCAGTGGAGATGTCCTGTCTAAGGGCAATGTGTGGTGTAAGTATTATGCAGAAAATTCGGAGTGTGGAAATTAGGAGAAGGTGTGGAGTTAATAAAAAGTATTAGTCAGAGGGGAGAAGAGGGGTTGTTGAGGTGGTCTGGTCATTTAGAGAGAATGGATCAAAGTAGAATGACTTGGAAAGCATATAAATCTATAGGGGAAGGAAGGCGAGGTAGGGGTCGTCCTCGAAAGGGTTGGAGAGAGGGGGTAAAGGAGGTTTTGTGGGCGAGGGGCTTGGACTTCCAGCAAGCGTGCGTGAGCGTGTTAGATAGGAGTGAATGGAGACGAATGGTATTTGGGACCTGACGATCTGTTGGAGTGTGAGCAGAGTAATATTTAGTGAAGGGATTCAGGGAAACCGGTTATTTTCATATAGTCGGACTTGAGTCCTGGAAATGGGAAGTTCAATACCTGCACTTTAAAGGAGGGGTTTGGGATATTGGCCGTTTGGGGGGATATGTTGTGTATCTTTATACGTTTATGCTTCTGAACTGTTGCATTCTGAGCACCTCTGCAAAAACAGTGATAATGTGTGAGTGTGGTGAAAGTGTTGAATGATGATGAAAGTATTTTCTTTTTGGGGATTTTCTTTCTTTTTTAGGGTCACCCTGCCTCGGTGGGAGACGGCCGACTTGTGGGAAGAAAAAAAAATGTATAGTGTGACCTAAGTGTAAGTAGAAGTAGCAAGACGTACCTGTAATCTTGCATATTTATGAGACAGACAAAAGACACCAGCAATCCTACCATCATGTAAAACAATTTCTGGCTTTCGTTTCACACTCACTTGGCAGGACGGTAGTACCTCCCTGGATGGTTGCTGTCTACCAACCTATTACCTTAATAAACTAGTACTGTACTTAATATGTTTGCAGAAGAAAAGAGGCCCAAATTAAATTTGGAAGACCTGCCTCACCTGGGCTGGACTTTCCATCTTCACCTGGACTACATTGTCTACCTTCCCCTGGATTCAAGATAAAAAAGTTGAAGCAAAATTCTCCAATGGACTGTGAGCAGGTTGAGACTGATCTTCCAAGTGACAGTCACACAGAGGAAGATAAGAAGGTTAATCCAGATGTTGAGATGCATTCACTCGGCAGTAATTCTGAAGGTTATTGACTATCTTGGCATGTGTTGTAAATATAGAAAACATTATTAAATGTTTTCTATAAATGTTTTCAAATGTTATTTTTGTTGACTACAGGCTTAAATTTTTATTAAGCTTCGAAGAAATTTGTGTGTGTGCGTGTGCATGTGCGTGCGTATGTGTGCGTGCATGTGCATACGCACGTACTCACCTAATTGTGGTTGCAGGGGTCAAGACTCAGCTCCTGGCCCTGCCTTTTCACTGATTGCTACTAGGTCCCCTCCCTGCTCCCTGAGCTTTATCATACCTCATCTTAAAGCTAAGTATGGTTCCTGCCTCCACTACATCACTTGCTAGACTGTTTCACTTCCTGACAACTCTATGACTTTAGAAATACTTCCTAACGCCCCTTTGACTCGTCTGAGTCTTCAGCTTCCAATTGTGACCTCTTGTTTCTGTGTCCCCTCCCTGGAACATCCTGTCTCTGTCCACCTACCTTATCTATTCCATGCAGTATTTTGTATGTCGTTATCATGTTTTCCCTAACCCTTCTGTCCTCCAGTGTTGTCAGGATGATTTCCCTCAACCTTTCTTCGTAGGACAGTCCCCTGTGCTCTGGAACTAACCTTGTTGCAAACCTTTGCACTTTCTCTAATTTCTTGACATGTTTGACCAGGTGTGGGTTCCGAACTGGTGCTGTATACTCCAGTATAGGCCTGACGTACACAGTGTACAGTGTCTTGAATGATTCCTTACTAAGGTGTCGGAACGCTTTTCTCAGGTTTGCCAGGTACCCATATGCTGTAGCATTTATCTGGTTGATGTGTGCTTCCAGAGATGTGCTCGGTGTTATGCTCACCCCAAGATCTTTCTCTTTGAGTGAGGTTTGCAGTCTTTGGCCACCTAGCCTATACTCTGTCTGCGGTTCTCTTTGCCGTTCCCCAATCTTCATGACTTTGCATTTGGCGGGGTTGAATTCAAGAAGCCAGTTGCTGCACCACGTGTTCAGCCTGTCCAGGTTTCTTTGTAGTCCTGCTTGACCCTCATTGGATTTAATTCTCCTCATTAACTTCATATTATCTGCAAACAGGGACACTTCTGAGTCTATCCCTTTCATCATGTTATTCACATATACCAAAAATAGCACTGGTCCTAGGACTGACCCCTGTGGGACCCCCGCTCACCACAGGCGCCCACTGTGATACCTCATCATGTACCATGACTCGTTGTTGCCTCCCTGTCAGGCATTCTCTGATCCATTGCGGCACCCTTCCTGTTATACACACCCGATCCTCCAGCTTCTGCACTAATCTCTTGTGTGGAACTGTGTCAAAGGCCTTCCTGCAGTCCAGGAAAATGCAATCAACCCACCCCTCTCTCTTATGTCTTACTTCCATTACTTTGTCATAAAACTCCAGAAGGTTTATGACACAGGATTTGCCTTCCATGAATTCATGCTGGTTGTCATTTATAATCTTGTTCTGTTCCAGGTGCTCCACCACTCCCTTCCTGATAATCTTCTCCATGACTTTGCATACTATACACATCAGTGACACTGGTCTGTAGTTTAGTGCCTCATTTCTGTCTCCTTTCTTAAAAATGGGGACTACATTTTCAGTCTTCCATACCTTAGGTAGTTGCCCAGTTTCAAGGGATGTTTTGAAGATTGGTTAGTGGCACACAGCATCTCTGCTCCTTCTCTAAGGACCCATGGGGAGATGCTGTCTGGTCCCATTGCCTTTGAGATATCAAGGTCACTTAGCAGCTTCTGCACCTCCTCCTCAGTTGTATGTCATCCAACAGTTGTTGGTATATTCTCTGTTGGTGTTTCCCTCTGTGCTGTCTTCCCAGAGTCCTTCCTGTCTCTACTATAAGTACTTCCTTAAATCTCGTGTTGAGCTCCTAGCATACCTCTTGATTGTTTCTTGTGAGTTCCCCACCTTCTTTCCTCAGCCTGATCACCTGGTCTTTGACTGTTGTCTTCCTCCTAATGTGGCTATACAGCAGTTTCAGGTCAGACTTGACTTTCGATGCTATGTTGTTTCCATACTGTCGCTGGGCCTCCCTCCTTATCTGTGCATACTCGTTTCTGGCTCTTCAACTAATCTCCTTATTTTTCTGGGTCCTTTGCCTTCTGTACTTTTTCCATTCTCTAGTGTACTTAGTTTTTGCCTCCCTACACTGTCGGGTAAACCAGGGGCTCGTTCTGGTCTTCCCATTATTTCTGTTGCCCTTGGGAACAAACCTTTCCTCTGCCTCCTTGCATTTTGTTATGTATTCCATCATTTCATTTACTGACTTTCCTACCAGTTCCCTTTCCCACTGAACCTCCTGAAGGAAGTTTCTCATACCTGTGTAGTCCCCTCTTTTATAGATTGGCTTTTCCCATTCAACTCCTATTACCCTCTCCACTTGTAACTCTACTACGTATTCAAAGCATAGAACCACGTGATCACTTGACATCCTCAATGTTTGAACACAAGGTCCAGTCTTGCTGGTTCATCCTCCCCTCTCTCTCTGGTAGTGTCCTTAACATGTTGACGCATGAGGTTTTCCAGTACCACATCCATCATTTTGACTCTCCATATTTCGGGACACCTGTGTGGCTCCAGATTTTCCCAATTGATCTCCCTGTGGTTGAAATTGCCCATAACCAGTAACTTTGCTCTGCTCGAGTGAGTTCTTGTTGCCACCTCAGCCAGTGTGTCCACCTTTGCTCTGTTGTTCTCTTCATATTCCTCTTGTGGCCTCCTACAATTCTCTGGTGGATTATATATCACTGCAATGACTACCTTGTGTTCTAAAGTTGGTAGAATTACCGACAATATGTAAAGTAAAAGGACACAAGTGCAACTAATGTGACATTTATTGTGGCAACGTTTCGCTCTCCAGGAGCTTTATCAAGCCATTACAAACAATACATGGACACAGAGGGTATATAAAGGCTCAGAGTGAGGTGAATACTAGTGAGGTACCATTTCGATGTTCACTAGTGGTAGTAGTAGTAGTAGTAGTGGTAGTGACAAAAGTAATACAATATGTTAGAGCAGTTAATTCGTACATGAGTAAAAGGATATGAAAGCTATTACTTGGGTAACATAAAAATAGGTTGGACAAATATAAACTGGAATGAGGCAGCTTGTTTCAGTGTTCACTCTCTGTGCTTTGTGTAGTATAACAGGAGAGACTATGTGATGGCAGGGTTTACTGGGTTTAGGGTTGCTTGTTACCAAGCAACCCTAAACCAGCACACATGTATGGTTTACCCAAGACCCATAAACACAATATTCCTCTCAGACCAATCACGTCAGGAATAGGCAGTGCTCCACACAAACTAGCCGGAGTTCTTGCCAAACATCTTTCCTGCCTTCTGGGGACCATCAGCCCCACTCATCTTAAACACTCAGGCGACCTTCTCAACCGCATCCGTAACCTCTCCATCCGTAACAAGAAACTAAGCAGTTTGGATGTGACTTCCCTCTTCACAAAAGTACCTACCAAAAAAGCCATCGAGGTTCTACGACGTAAAGTCAACCAGGACCTTAATCTTCCTTTACCTCCCCGGAGATTTTGTTGACTTGATTGAACTCTGTGTTAACTTCAACTGTTTTTCCTTCAATAACAAGCTCTACAAACAAACCTACGGCATGGGAATGGGGTCCCCAATAAGTGCCGTCCTAGCCAACTTATACATGGAACACCTAGAGTCCGAACACTTCGCCAACATCATCCCTTCAAGCGTCACTTGGTTGCGTTACGTGGACGATGTCCTCGTAATAACCTCCAAAACGTTTTGATGTACGGGATCTTCAGGCAAGGCTCAACGCAGTTGAACCAGCGATCCAGTTTACACTAGAAGAAGAGTCCAATGACAAGCTACCTTTCCTCGACGTCCCTCATTCACAAAGTAGACAACAACCTAAGATTTCAAGTTTATCGGAAACCCACCAATAAAAATGATCTCACACACTTCTATTCCAGTCAAGATACCAAGACCAAAAGAGGCATCATCATCGGGTTTTTCCTAAGAGCATACCAAATTTGTAGTCCTGAGTTTCTTGACGAGGAATGTACTTACATTCACCAAACATTCACTGAGTTACAATTTCCTTCTTTTTTCATCAAAGACTGCAAGAAAAGAGCTCTTCAGATCATCAATTCTCCACGCATCAACACCGCTCCCAACAAAGTTATAATTCTTCCCAACAGCCAGGTTGCGCTAAACGTCTCAAAAGTACTTTCACAAGCTAACACCAGAGTCGCCATCGCTTCTACCACTTCAATAAAGGATCTAACCAGGAAAAAAACCCAAGCACCACGAACCAGTCAATGCAGGAGTTTACACTATACCCTGTGGAGGCTGTGGACAAGATCTACGTAGGTGAAACAGCAAGAAACCTTGACACCCCCTCAATGAACACATATACGCATGCAGGAACGACAACTTAAACAACGCCTGTGTAAAAACACCGAAATTCCACCAATCATCTTATGAAATTCAGAGACGCCCAATTAGTGATAAAAGAAAATAATTTCCGCACACGCAAGTGCCTTGAATCAGCACTGATCGCTGTTTCAAATACAATTAAACAAAACAACGGCAGCTTCACCATCTCCGAAGTCTTAGCAAGAATCCTCCTGAAAACAGTAAACCCTGCCATCACATAGTCTCTCCTGTTATACTACACAAAGCACAGAGAGTGAACACTGAAACAAGCTGCCTCATTCCAGTTTATATTTGTCCAACCTATTTTTATGTTACCCAAGTAATAGCTTTTATATCCTTTTACTCATGTACGAATTAATTGCTCTAACATATTGTATTACTTTTGTCACTACCACTACTACTACTACTACTACTACTACCACTAGTGAACATCGAAATGGTACCTCACTAGTATTCACCTCACTCTGAGCCTTTATATACCCTCTGTGTCCATGTATTGTTTGTAATGGCTTGATAAAGCTCCTGGAGAGCGAAACGTTGCCACAATAAATGTCACATTAGTTGCACTTGTGTCCTT